TTTTTGGTCGAGGCCTCTCATTTTTCCCTTTTTATTGTTGTCTCCTATTTTTCTGCATTGGTCATTACAATGGCCTACTGGGGGGGGCACTAAAACAGGGAGCAGCAAAAACATGATGCTATTTTTGCACCACAAATGAATATTATATGGACAATGGTCAGAATGGTCATTATAAGTCAACTATCCTGAGAATTACATGTGAATAGGCCAAAGCTGCATCAAAAAACCAAGAGCAGCAGGAAGTCTGAACCTAAACTGGATTCCAAGGTAAGACTCTGAAACAATAGTGATTTATTTATTTAATCAAGTGCTGGATTGTGAATACAGTTGCTAGGGTGAGGAATGAGGAAATATGCTAGGTGAAGCTGGAGTAGTGCTGCTTTGTGATAAGTATATATTCATTCTTTTGAATAAATAGGAAATGTTTCACTTGATGCTGTCACAGAGCTTTCAGTCTCCCACCTTCCAAGACTTTCATGACTCACATATCCAACTTGTTCTGACATATGCAAAACTATAATCTAAAAAAAAATGCCTTATTCTTAATTTACTTTCCATCCATGAGTCTCCAGATTCTCATGCCCTCAATACTTTTCCTGCTTTTTCTTCCATCTTGTATGTTTTTCCTTCTTGCCATTTATCCTTGATACTGCATGCATTTTGCTCCACATTTAAGTGGCTAATGTGGCTCACTTCATCTACCAAATCCAGAGGTAATTCAGTGTGAAAAGGGAGTTTGGGGTGTGCCTACAAGCACTTCTGCTTTCCAAGTACAGTGGACCCTTCCTATCCACGCCTCCTCCTCCCCCACTCCCACAGATGGCAAAAAACACAGATGGTCACCCCATATTATTCAATGGTGGCAGCGTGTGCTTAGACTCATCTGCATATATGTACCACCACTGAGTAATATGGGATGTAGCTATCTGCAGATGGTCAAATCTGCAATGCAGGACAAAAACAATACCATATACAAGGGTAATGCATACAGATAATCTGCACATAAACTGTACACACTTTTGTGGATGTTACAAGGGGTGTGATCCCAACCTTTAATCTGTTGCCTTAAAAAATACATCCAATATTGTTAGAACTTTTTTGTCCAAATAGCTCAGAGATTAATTAGATCTACTAACCCAGATGCTGTAAGCGTTTACCATTAATTTGGGCTTGATTCTGGAACATAACCAAAACTATAGGGTGAGTTTATGAGAATTTGATATCAAAGCTGAAAGCAGGAACCATCCAGTCAAAATCAGATGAAAAACTCTGTGCTAAATTGCATCTCATTCCTTCCCTATTCATGATCTTTCTATTTGTCATCTTAATGAAGGTATTACATCATCAAGAAAGTTTTTTCAATTAATCATATACAGGTACCTCTGACTGGTGATATTAGATATCAGCCATCCAGGTAATTATGATGTTTCAGTCCATCGTGGCCCCACCAGCCCACAGTTAACAATAACAACAATAATTTATTTATTTATATTCCACCTTTTCCCCCAGCCCTGGGACTCAAGATAGCTTACAAAAATTGAAAGCTATACATGAAAGCTCACATATATCTCTCTCTCTCTCTCTCTCTCTCTCTCTCTCTCTCTCTCACACACACACACACACACACACACGCATATATATATATATCAAAGTTGAAATATAATCAAGCTGCCCATAGAATAAAATCATGCTTAAAATCTGTCTATCCATTAAAAAGTAACAGCAAAATGCATTACTAAAAACTCTTTCCCATTGAAAAAAAAATAAGTTCCTAAAGGCGTATCAAAACAAAAAAATATTATTTGTCATTGGATGGGCCAGTCCTGCCTTGTTTGCAAGGGAGTTCATACCAATTCACTCCCTGGACAGAGTTCAAGAATCCACAGTCCCCCCCCCCCCCCCCCAAAAAAAATTATGCTACCTGGCATCTGCATTTGAGCTGGGATTTCAACAACTTTCCCTATCTTAGATTTAATAGTTCCTCAATTTCTGGAAGTGTCCACAATTAAAGTGATCAGGAAAGCTTTCTAATTTGAAGAATTTGCTGGGAAATCATGGTAAACCTTCCCCTTTTCCTTATCTAATGCCATTATTCTTGTCTATAGACTTTTGCAGTACGGTAAGTTATTATCTCTGCTCGTAACTAATTTACACCCATTTATTCGTGGACCTTGTTCCTCTACATCGTCATCACTGATAACAAATATGAACCTCAAGAATAAGTGTTTTGCCTGGTTTAAGCAGTGAATGAGAAGGCACACACGCACAAAAACTAGGCAATGCCACTTGCAATTTCAGAAAATATATTGAAATTTCTTCCATGTAGCAATAGCAACAGAAAGACCCATTAAAAGGACAGTTCACTTTAAAGCATACAGATTGCATGCTCTGTTTTGATCAATTAAACCCTCGTGATTAAGAACGATTTCAGAATCTACGAGAACCAACATTTCAAATTATCAGAGACAACTGTCATAATCTGAATAATTTAGCATTCTTTGAACACAATGCACTTGATAGCTAAGGTTAGGATTCTCATTTGTTGATCCAGTTCATGCAATTGAATAACCTAATTATTGTAACACACACAACCCAAAAAAAAGTTTCTGTACTTCCAAAGCATGACATCTAGAGACTCTCTACCACTCACATCAACACCTTAATAAACAAGAGTTATTTTGGTTGGAAAGAGGGTAAAGACAGAAATGGGAGGACGACAGTGAAAAGAGAAATACTGTGTATGTGTTCTCTTTCTCTCTCTTTCACACACACACACACACACACACCTGTGATCCTACAGAGAAGGAAGTTGTAGTGAGCTGGAAAACTGTGTTGGCATTTCCCAGCACCCATCCTGGTTTGTGCCACTGTCTGGAGATAAAACACTCACACACAACAGGTAGACTCATGTTAGCCATTAATCAGACATTCTGAAATATCAGAGGCTCAAAAACATGGAAGATATGAAAAATTTATCTCACAAGATGCCATTGAGCACAGGGACTCATTCTGCTCTGGTCAGTAATATAATGTTATACAATTCCCCTTTGCTTTTCAGGTTGTTCTAACCAAATATTGGTGATCTTACTGAAGGCCAGAAAGGATGTGTTGTTGTTTTTCATGCCAGCTAGTGCTACTCACTGAGAAAAGCAGAAAAACACACCCTACCTTTCCCATCACATTTCAAAACTTTCTAAAATACTGTATCAGTGTTGTCCTGTACTAATATGCTGAACCAAGACCAAATAAAGTTGATTTTGTCTTCAGATAGGATCACACTCAACTGGTTATATTCTTGGAGAAAAATATGTTTTTGCTGTACGCCATGCATTATTGGAGGGATTAGCCCTTTTGGACTGTAAAGCAATATCACACTGTTTAATTCTGAGTCCCACTGTATTCAATAGGATTTATTTTCTGGCAAGTAATATCATGTTCTCAGACTCAAAGTGCTATAACAATTATTACATCTGCACCATAATTTTCCCAATTAAATACCCCAAAGGCACCTGTAGATCCTACCTTTCTTATCCTGATTTTGGAAGCTAAGCAGGATCAGGGAGGCTTCCAGAGAAGAATTGGTGCTGTAGGCTACTGGTATATTTTGAGCAGAACATTGATAAACCACCTCTGAAAGTTCCCTTCTTAAGAAAAACCTGTGCAATTCATGGAGTTACCATAAATTGACAGGTGACTTGAAAGCACATAAATTTCACTATGTTACATACAGTGCTTCTCTGTCAATCTGTTGAGCTATATGGGTCCACACATAGTAGCCCCTCCCAATTCATGGCCCGCAAATATTTGAGCCCCATTGAAAATAATGGCGCGTGCATATGTGGCACATGTGGGGGGTGCGTGTGGGCATGCACCGCCATTTTATCTCTCCCCGCTTGTCCCTCCCGCAAAGAGCAGGACCACAGACTCCAAGTCCATGAACAGGGAGGGACAACTGTACAGTACTTGATCTTAAGAGACACCATAATTGGTTTGTCATGAAATGAGACCAAAAGGAAATTTTGCACCTTTTTCATCAACTTCTTTGGCTACCTCCCAAACCAATCCTTTAAATTTCTGGTTTGTTTGGGGAGTATTTTTGGATTAAAATGCACATCTATGAACCAATTTGGACCAAACTTGATATTTACATTTAGGTTGCTATCCCAAACTATTTAATAGAACTTTGGAACTGGTTAAGAACCTCCATCTTTAGAGGCATGCAAATTTGGATCGTGTTGCATGGAACTGAGTGTGAAACAAATTTTAAGGATTGTAACTATTATTATAAATAAAGTTGTATGAACACTTGTATAAAGTAATCAGTGGCAAGAGGGCAAGCGGGATGTAGATAGCATCTGTTTTTCTTTCTTTTGCTTTCTCCCAGTCCATTAAAAGCTGCTTCTTCATTATTCAATATGATAGCCAATCTCTTTGTTCCCTGTGTCTTAAGAGAGGAACAATGAGGGTGGTCCAACCCCAATAATGCTTGTTAGCTTAGCCCTGTAATATAATATAAATACAAAATATTTATAAGACTAATACTAAATGTTCCAGTAGAGAACAAGTGTTTAAGTGCAGTGGTTTGAGATCAGGATTCAATTCCCCACTCAGCCATGGTAAGAAAATGGTTTTGAGGGGGGAAATATGGTTAAACTTCATCTTCGCTCCCACGACAGTCTATAAGGATAGATCATGCTCAGTGGCTTCCAAACACTGTTGTTGATATTCTACGTTGCCTACTTGATTAAAATATGAATACCTTATATCACTGAGTAAAGAGCAGTTATGGACCAATAACTCTGTGTTAGAAATCTGTAACTGCAATATGCCAGCTGGTGTCTGTGAAGTGGAAATGGAAAGGCTGAGGTTGGAGGGGAATGGAGTGACACATCCAAGAAGTGTGTGTGGCTGGCTAAAACTGTAAACAGAAATATGTTACATTGCATCATTTTGTTGTAGACCCTATTTTATTTTAATCATCAAGTAATCGCAATAACAGAGTCAGAGTGATGTAGTGGTTTGAGCAATGGACTATGATTCTGGAGACCAGAGTTCAAGTCTCGGCTCAGCCATGGAAATCCACTGGGTAACCTTGGCCAAGTCACACACTCTTGGCCTCAGGGTATGGCAATGGCAAACCCCCTCTGAAGAAACTTGCCAAGAAAACTCCATTACCATAAGTCAGAAATTACTTGAAGGCACACAGCAACAACAACAATAACAATTTCCCAAATATTATAACATGGAGGAATATAGGAGGAAAAAGATTTGACATTTTCAAGGACTCCTAGGGAGAATTCCCACCTCCACTGCAAAAGGCCAAAAAGAGCAGTACGTACTTTCATAGTTCTTCATGAAAATGAGTAGCAACTATTCATTCAAAGAAGAAAAAGAAATGGCACCACCATTGGTTTGGTGATACATTTTGCTGAACATAGGAATATAAAGAATATGCACACATTTTCTCATCTTCTGTGAGAAAGTGTGCTTTGGCACATGAAAGATTTTTCATATCTTGGGACTTTTCTGAAAAACAACCAGAACAAAAACAAACACTTGTGTTTTGCATGAAAACATTTTTTCTTAAAAAATAAATACAAAGTTATACAAAGCCATTTTTTTAAAAAAAAGTATTTTGCACAAAATACTTTTCCTTGTGCAAAAATATTGTTGTTTGAAAAAACAATTGCTCTCACAAACCCAATGCTTTTGCACAGTTTTTTTTCAGAAGAAGGCAAAAATTGTTTTATCAAACAATTGTTTGCACAAACCCTATGTTTTTGCACTTTTTTGCACAAAAAGGAATTTTTGATTTATTATTGTAATTTCTCCCAGCAGGGGGAAACTTTTGCAATTATTTCTTTTTGTGCGCAAGTACAAAATAAGGAAAATTTACATCCCTACCTGAGGTTCCTTAATCTGATGACTTTACCAAGTCAACATCAAGCTTGTTTGGATCTGCACCTTTATTTTCTTTGTCTTGTTTCTGTCTTGTTATGCAAGATTGGGTTTTATAAAGATCTGTAAATTCATTACAACCACATCATTTCCTCACTATTTGTAGTCTTCTGTAGGAATGTTGCATTGTATCCAATGACCCTTTTCCTTCCCTTTGTGGAAATAGCTATTTAGGGAGTGCTGTCAGAATAGCTGGAATATCAACTGGGCTTAGAAGGCGGTCTACAGGCACTGAAAGCGGGGGATTACAGATGAGGGTGCAAATTCTAGGTAGTACAATTTCCATTTTCCATAGTTTGCAGAGAGAGAAACCTGAGTTAATAGAGGATGAGTTAAGAAAACACTGAATTCAGATTGGACCCAAATGCATCTCTGTGTCTGCATCTGCACTGAAGAAATAATCTAGTCTGAGACCACCTTAACTGCCCTGCCCACTGTTACGGAACCCTGGAATTTATAGTTTGTGATGGCACCAGAGCTTGTGATGGCACCTCTATTAGCTATTATTAAAGCGGTGTCTAACAGAAAAGGCTAAATGTCTCATAAAACTACAGATCCCAGACTTCGATGACATTGAGCAATGGCAGTTAAAGCGGTGTCAAATTGGATTATTTATGCAGTACGGATCCAGCCAAAGGTAAAAATAAGAGTGAATCCTCTGGAAATGGCGAGCCTCAGAGTGATTTGACCCCATTCTGCACTTGATTTTGATGGGGATCAAGGGAGAATAGAACCAGAATAGCCTATTTGGCTTCTTAGCTCAGTTCTGCTTCCACCCCATCCCACCCTCTGATATCTGTCCCCCTGGCCCTGCTGGCCCTTGGAGTGAACAAGGGAGGCCTGATTCAAGCACTGCAGGATGAGGCGTTCCTCCCTATTCTATGAGCCCAATGGGGAGAGGGAGCCTCACTTTCAGAAAAGCAGCAAATGAAAACTCCAATGAAATGAGAAAATATGTCTGAAAAGTATTTCCTGAGGTAAGAAATAGCCACCCAAATCCCGTTGGGCCTCTCTTCGGTTCATTGTAGAGCTCTGCTACTATCCAGTGGTGTCCCTAGGGTTGGTGTCACCTGGTGCGGTCACTCACAGGGGGTGGAACTTCTGGTGCATGTGGGAGCGGGAGCGCACAGTTGGAAATGCCATGCGTGCCCCCAGGGAGCAGCCCTAGGGGCCCGGAGCGGGCTGGGAATGCCCTGGGTGCCCTGGGGAAAGGCCTGTGGCCTCAGGGAAACCCCACAGGGGGGTAGGGAACCAGCCAGGTGTCACCTCCTCTTCTGAGGTGTCATCCAGTACACACACACACACACACACACACACACACGACACTACTGCTACTATCTGCTTCCTTTCATATTGCTTTTTCCTTGGGAAAAGTGGAAAGGTAGAGAGAGTTGACCAATAACTGCATTCAATAAGCATTGAAGTTTAACTCCAGGGAGATACCCCTTCATGGGTATCTGGACATTTATCAACAGTGCTGTTGGAAGACAATGAATTTTCAAGGAAAGCATTGACATGTTCACTCAACCTGAGTGATTAGAGATGGTGAGTGTTTGTGTGGTCAACTGATACAAACCCACAGCTTGGAAACATTACTTTTTTGGCCCACAGTTCTCAGAATCCCCTAATCAGCACTCTGGTCATGCTCAGTGAGGGATTCTGGGAATTGTGTTTGGGAAAGTAATGTTTCAAAGTTCTGAAATTATCAACAATGGTTCCTAAAAAGCAAAACTTGGAAACCTTACTTTTTGGACTGCACTGCCCAGCATCTACCAGAACCCATGTTAGCTAAGGGGTTCTGGGAGTTGCACCACTATCTGATAACTTTTCCAGGCCTTTATGAAGAAGTTTTATAAGTTGTATATATTTGCTCCAGTTTTTAGGAAGATATCTTCTGGGAGATATCCCCCTGGTCTTTTGTGATGGCATGGTGCATTCTGTGAATTACTTCACAGAAACATTCTAGCATGTCTCATTACATTAATCTGACTTCATATATTGCCCTCCTTCAGCAATCAATCACATTCTTAATGCCCTGCTTGCAGTCATCTGAATAATCAGATTTAACATCTTGCATTCGTTCAAAGAATAATCTCTCGAGCTATTTCATTTGATTTAAATGCTTTCAGGCTTCTAAAAAGAAATATGTGAATAACTTTTTTAAAACCCTGTTTACATGGCTAGACAAAGTACATTTGGACACATTACTAATATCCAGTTACATTTAGGAGCTGACAGTTATTGCTACTTGGGTATACAAACATAAGCTCCCTTTAGTTATTAAGGTATAATATATGTATATGTGCATATCCATGGCACCTATATTTTTAAAAAATAGTTATGTCAATATGCATTTATAACATCAATGGATTATTGTTGCATGAACAATCATTTAACATACACCATCTTTCAAAGTCTGTCTTTAGCCATAACTGTGTATTTGCATACTTTAATTTCTCACTGTACAGTTCTGATTATCTCCTTTTCTCTCTTTTCTTCTCAACACAGAGAATTTTAGCAACAGTTATTATGTACCATAACAATCCCTACTGCCTGTTTTTTTCTGTTTTACTCCAACTAATTAAGGATCAAAGGATATTTTTATACCAGTAATTATTTAAATTGCTTTGCTATATAAACCAGGAAGTTTTACTATGAAAAGGGCTATCACAGATAAAAAAAAGTATTCTAATTCTCTCTTACTGTTTTGACACTAAAATGGGGGGGGGGGGGATCATGATCCATAGGAAACATCTGCAACTACCCTGATATTGATACACTTTCCAGACATTATTTCCAGTTATTATTCTCACTGTGTAAAAAGGAGTTTCACTGTCAATTGTTAGTTGAGATATGGCTGTAACTATGTGTTGGGGTATACAGACAGTTAGGGCCTTTGCAGGCTACCAGAAATAGTGCAAATTTTAGGCTAATGTATACCCTTTGTAGAGTTCTGGAATAAGGTTGTAGATGGTAAATTGGGAATCACAGTGGCTGGCTTGTGAATCCAGAGATAAAAACCTAAATTCAGGTTATACAATCTGCTTTCTGGGTGAGGGACATTCAACATACTGGAAAATCTTTGGGAGTTCCTTGGACCAAGTTAGACATTTGCTTTGTACATCTGATCCTACATGGTTGACAACTGTGGGGTTTGGCAATTTAATATGTTTGTACATTTGTGTGTTAAATTAACATATTGTAGAATAATGTACATAGGGGAATTTTGGAGTATATAGTCATCCCACCATACCCATGGATTCTGTATCTATGGATTCAAACACCCACACCTTGCAAATATTCAAAAAAGATATATATTCCCAAAGTAAACCTTTATTTTGCCATTTTCTTTGATATCATAATTTAATGTATATTATGATATCTTTTCTTCCAATATTTCTCCCATTGTTCAAATTCTATTATGTCCAAAATCCTGTGCCCATTTTATCATATGAGGTTTAACCACTTCAGTTTCCATTTCTATTTTTAACAACATTTTGTACAGTCTGGATATTTCGTGTTTCTCTTCTAACATAATTATATCTTCAAATTCCTTATTCATTGTTTCTATAGATTTATTTATTTTTGTCCATTAAGAATCTTTCCCTTATTTGGTGATATGTGAACCAGTTACATGTATATCCTTCCTGTGCTAATTATTCCTGTGATTTAATCTTCATATTTAGACCTTCACCAATTATTAATTCCTTATAGATCAACCACTGATCTTTTCCTATCTTGTCATTCCTTATAAAGGCTTCATTTATTGAGGTCCACTTGGGAATACTATCTTCCCATTTACCCCTGACCTTCTGCCAAATTCTTAACAAGGCTTGTCTCAGGTAGTGGTCATTGAAGTCCTTGTGTACTTTTATTTTTTCATGAATTAAATATCCATGCCAACCATAGATATTGTCATATTCTTCCAATTTTAGATTCCTCTCTTTCTCCACTTTTATCCAATGTGTTAACATGGCTGAAGCTTCTGGGAGCTGAAGTCCCTCAGCCCTTAAAGGGGAAAGGTTGCCTACCCCTGACTGTTAACCAATGTAATCCACATGCTTAGTAATAAGTGTTTAGGTCTGGCAGCCCCATACCCCCTCTAGCCACCTCA